ACATGCAGTTTTTGTTCACTCAAACATGTCATCCAATCTGTATTGTACTCCCAATAATTAGAATATCTGTGTCAACAGTACAAATGAAATGTTTTTTTTAAGGTTTGAATGCCTAAATATCGAAAGAAAAAAATGTGATGGCATGTTTTTCTAGTGTTATTCTGTCTAGTGTGTAAAATCACAATAAGAAAACAATGAGCACATGTTTATTGTAACAGAAAGACCTTACGTGTTGACGTTACAGTCTAAATTTCCAGATCCTTTAGCGTCTGGCATACAGCATATCCAACTTAGCAGAACTTGTGACTAATAGTTCCATTGTGTTAAAATCTTAAACATCTAGCTTTTTAAGTGTTACTGCAAATAATACTTAAATCGTAAAGATTCCAAAATCAACAGGAACATATCATCAAACCTGAGAAATTAAATTCAGTCTAAAATTGTCCTTTTGTGTCCTGTATTCAAGGTTGTGTAGAGGAGGCAATAGGACCAGCAACAAAACATGTAAAACGTTCTTCCAAGTGACACTCTCCAGTTCCTTCAAGTGGATTCTAGTGCTTTTTCAGGCCAGAGGGATCTGTAATTCACTCAACTCTTTTTAGGTATTTCTCAAGGTTTCCTCCCATGGGGAAGTGCCTGGAAAAAAACATGCCATACCATACCATACCATACCATACCATACCATACCATACCATGCCATGCCATGCCATACCATACCATGCCATGCCATGCCATACCATACCATCTCATACCATCCCATACCCTACCCTACCCTACCCTACCCTACCCTACCCTACCCTACCCTACCCTACCATACCATACCATAACATACCATACCATACCACTTTTATTTATAAAGCACTTTAAACAACACAAGGCCAACCAAAGTACTGTACAGTAGACAGACACAACAGGACATAGTTCAAATTAGATTAAAAAATATGGAGCAGTGATATTTACAGTACACATAGAACAGAGTTATGATACACAGTGAGGTTTTGCACCATCTCACTACAACTCAAACACAAGGGAGTAGTGGTGTGTTTTTAACTGAGACTTGAAGACAGTGAGCGAAGGAGACTGTCTGATATGTAATGGTAGATCATTCCACAGTTTTGGACCTGCTACAGAAAAGGATCTGTCACCTCTCAGTTTGAGATGAGAGTTAGGGACCTTCAGAAGCATCTGACCAGATGATCTAAGAGAGTGCTGTGGGACAAGTGGATGCACTACATCTGAGAGGTAAGAGAGATAAAAAAACATCCAAATGTAAGGGACCTGGGAACATCTTGATTAGATGTCCTCATAAACTCTGAAGGACCAGTGGTTGTACTCTGAGCTCCCCCTGAATCAGTCTAAGGGTCCACAGAGGAATCACTCATCCCCCAAACTTTTTTTCTCCATCTTCCTCTTACAACTCATTTGTAGGACCACTGAGGTGTTCTCAAGTCAACACAAAAATGGACCCTTTCCAACAAGTCCAGGATCTGCCTAGAGGCCCTTTAACAACTGGGATGTGTCTGAAACATCCCCAAAGGAGGAGGTTCTGAGGGAAGCTTTACCAGATGTCCAACTTCACCTGGCACTTTTCAGTGCATACAAGATTAGATTCTTCTCTAACCCCCTACCAAGTTGTTGAACTCTTTAGCATATTTTTAAGGGTAAGCCTAACCATCTGCCAGGAAAACTCAGCTGTTTGTAATCATATTTTTTGAATATTTTACACTGTAATTTCTCACTGAAACAGCCTTAAAAGAGTTAATAACCCTAAGAATTGAATAATTAGTGTGTAGAATTATACCAACACTATGTCCAAAACTATTAGTCTATATCATTAATGTTTAATTCAAGTGTTTCAGTCAGAATTTTTTTAGCTAGGCCTCTTGTCTCCAGTGATGAGCAGTCTTAATGCTTCAGTGTACTAAAACAATGAACACCAGGGAAAGTCTGTTTCTACTTTAACATGCACACAAAACAAAGTGTGTTTCTCCACACTGAACTTATCATTGTTGAAAAATGTGACAGGCCTGCACAAAGCAATGATCTCAGCCCCATCATGCACCTTTGGGATAAACTAGAACACACGATTAAAAGTGGAACCTGTTGTCCAGCATTAGTGACTGACCTCATGCTCTGCAGAATAAATGAGCACAAATGAAACACATTACAAGAATAAACCCACATAGCAGAATTTGTCCGGCCCAGTTCTAGCCCAAACAACGTACTAACAATTGGCCTGCATGGGGTTTGCCAGAGGTGGTTTGTGCATGGGCCAGCACCACATAAACCAAACCACAGCTGGGCCAGTTGTAGTATTCCATCTTTAAAAAACAGTGTCATTATTGCAATTGCAAGACCTGGGGTCTCATTTATAAAGGATTGCGTGGAAACCATACTAAAAGTGAACGTACGGCCAAAAGGCGGAAATGGCGTACGCCAAAAAAGATTCAGATTTATAAAACCATGCGTACGCATG